AGAAAAGTCTTCAAAAGAGTTTCATATTCTTTCTCGGTTACTGTTTTCTCTTGCTTTCTTGAACCCACTTCAGATAAGTCTTCTTAGACTTTCCTCAATAAAAACTCTCGGTTAGTATTATCCAATGGCTTCCACATTGCTTAATCCAATGGTTGATTCTCAGCCTTTGACATAATCTGTCCCAGCCCCCTTGTTTTGTTTTATAGGATTTTGTTTCTTATTGAGACACGGTGTCACTGGGTAAACCTATGACAACTTTGTGATTCATCTGCCTCAGACTCTAAGTGCTGGGATCTGTAGCCATGTGATGCCACACTCTGTTCTTAATTGTTGGTTTTACATGTTATGTGTTTTTTTTTTTCTTACTCCTTTGGTATCTACCTGCCTAGCTCCTGTATGAGCTTTTATCTTCTGTGGGATCTGAACTTTGACACTGTAGGATGTTCAATCTTTGTTAGTTTTTCTATTTCGAATCCCTGTGTGACTTAATTCAGTCTTTTTGTGTAGAATTCCACTTCTTTATTAAAGGTGGTCATATTTTTATTTCCAGTCCCAACCAATCCCCTACCACAAACCCAGATTCAAATGCCCTAACATGGTGTTACTGGAAAACAGCACAAGTTACCCTACATACAGTGTACCTTCTTGTCTTGGCCACATGTGGCCAAATCTTTGAGTTGCTTTGACTCTCAAATCACACTCCAGTTGTAATGTTCCTGACTCAGGGTTCAGCCTTCAGAGGTTCAGACTCTTTAAGTGCTTCTTATCAATGTGCTTTTGTTATTTGTTCTTTGATGGCTTAGAGTGGCAACGCTTAATCGGCACCTCTTTATTTTATTCTGCTTAAAATGTTTCTACCTTTTGTCACCCCAAAGAAATCACAGTGATCTTACTAACTTATTAGCATTGGTTGATTAACTAGTTTAAGGTGTTCCTTTTGAGACAGGGTAGCTTATATCCCAGGCTGGCTTCAAACTTGCTCTCTAGCTGAGAATAACCTTGAATTTTGACCTTTGAACTTGCTTCCAGCTCTTGAGTGCTGGGATTACAGGTAGATGTCCACCATCATGCCTGGGATCAAATTCAAGGATTTTTACATGCTGGCATGCACTCTACCCCCAACTCCTTATTAATTTGCTTCTGTTTTATTTAAATTCAAAGTCCGTTCATGTCCCTCCCATGCTAAAAATTTTGCAATGAGTTTTGTTTCATTCACAGAAAAACTGGACTATGGGCTGCAGCATCCTTAATTTTACCTCTGCATTTTCTCTGATGCCATCTGCTGCTCCTGGTTTACTCCTGCTCTTTAAATAAAGATGTACCCTTCAGTATACCTTAGGGATGTGGCATCTGCGTTCTCAGTAGCATTGTTTTCCCACAGATGTCTAAGTGAAGTACTTTAGTTCCATCCAGTCCTTGGGGAGAAATACCCAGGAGGTACCCTTTCATCACTGTGTTTAAAATGCCAGTCTGTTTCTACCTGTACTATAATCCTGGAAGGACAAAGGTAAAGGCTAGCACTGATGGTTTTTTTTTGTTTTGTTTTTAGACTGGAGAATGCCAGGGTATTTGCTCCTCCTGATAGTTCTTTTCAAAAATGGAACTCAAGATGTGCTGTAACACATTCATATTTCATCCAAGAGCCTATAGTTGACGATATGAGGTAGCAATCACCATATCCCAGGTGCTGAACTGCTATGATTGGTCTTGGTGAGTGACAGCCACTCAGGTTTAAGGATGGAAGTTTCTCAATGTCTTTGAAGGGCCTCTGAAATGAGCAGATACAGCAAGAGCGGTGGTCCTGAATGCCTGTCGTCTGTCATTGCCACATATATACGATGTGTTTGGTGACTTGCAGTGGGCATTAGAAACAGGAGAACTGCAGAGCACCAGGGCAACTGTATCTGGTCTTTGCTGCCTGTGTTGAGTTTTTCTCTGAAGCTGAGATAGATAGTGTGGTTCCATTCCAAATACCATAACAAAGTGACCATCACAGGAAAGAGAATCGCTAAGTCTTTGGCTTTCCTGTACATATATTTATACCCATACTCTACTGTTTAGCAGCAACTATGTAACAGCTTTACATCTAACTAAACAATATGGACACCTGAGTTAAATTTCCTGGGGGCTCAGAGATTAAGAACATTGGCTGTTCTTTCGGGAAAACTAAGTTCAGTTCTCAGTACCAACATGATAACTGACAAATCATCTATAATACCAGTTCTGGGGGTTCTTATGCCCTCTTCTGGCCTCTGTGGGCATCAGGAATGGACACAGTACACAGATATACATGCAGAGGAAAAAAACACTCATACACATAAAGAGAAATTTCAAAGTACCTTATTGTTGAGAATGCTGAGGGTCGTCAGAGGTGCTAGAATTAGCACCAAGAGACTTGATCAATACGTGCTTGCCACAAACCTCCAGTTTGTAAAAAACCACAACAGCTGTTGCTGTGCCACTTGTCGTACAGCCCGATGACACTGAATGTGTCTGTCCCATACCTGGGTCTTTTGTGACTCTCAGTTTGAACCTAAAATTATGCCTGTTTGTGATTTTTAGGTTCAAATGATCTCACTGTGTTTTAATATCAATCTCTTTCCCTGGCTCTAATGATTCTTTTTCTTAAAACATTATATCAGATGATATAACACAGTTCTATTTCTGTTTGTATTCATCTCCCTAAGTTAAAGGTGAAATTTATGGACGTAGAGGGGCTCTGTCTTTCTGTTCAGTATCTAGTGTAACATCTAGAGAGATGTGTGGCACATGATATCTACTCAATAAAGTACCCAATAACTATTTCTTTAATGAATGAGAAACTTTTGTCTGTCTGTGTCTCCGTCTCTCTGTTTCTTTCTCTCTCTCTCTGTCTTTCTCTCTGTCTCCCTCTCCTCCTCCCTCCCCTCCTCTTCCCCTCCCTCCCCCCTCCCTCCCTCCTCTCCTCTCTCTCTTACCTCTACCCCATTTCCTTTTCCCAGTTTTCATTTGGTACCAGGAATAGTGCATGGTGAAGACAAGAGACGTCATCGTCCTCCATATTTCCTAGGACCTACAGTATGGACATTATTCTTGGTTGGCCAGTTACCAAGGTCCTTGGGGAGGCTTCCCAAATCTTATCAGGATAAAGGGCCTTGGAGAAATCATTTTCAGGAGGAGTCACATCTCAGCATCAGCAATGTAAAAGAAAGGCATGATATAATAAATACCCATGAAGGAAGACTGTGATATTAAGGGGAAACACAGATCATTTGTACCATTTGGTCTCTACTGTGATCTAAGGGAGATCATGTAATGAAGAGTTATATCCCCACAGTGCTCCAAATAATCCTAAATAAACTTAGGTACTGTTACTGCTCAATGGATTTCCAGGCAGTGTAAGAATAAGAGGTTTTAATTCCATTTGTCCGCCACTGTATCTATAAAAGCGCTATCATAGTGAAAATGTTAGCAAATAAAAAAAGTGGTTGTGTGGTCCAGTGTGTCAGTGTGCAGATATTTACTGAAAATAATTTAGTTTCTTTTAACGTGTAGCTAGCTACACAAGTAGAAAAGATTCTAGCCATGTGCACATGTGCTTTTGTATAATTTTTAGATGCTGTAGATGGAATGCTGGTTCCTAAAGGCTTTAAATGTGTTTAAGCATTTTCACATACCTTTGTTTATGCTGTTTATTTTCCTGCAGTTGTCATTCTTTATCAGTGTTTTCAAAGTCCTCGTGTGTTTTAGTTATAACAAAAGTCACGTCACATTTCTCTCTAGATCTCCCTGGCACTGCTTTCCTACCCTTTGTCTCCCCTTAAGATTAATTGATGAGTTGCTTTCTTCTCTGTGTTCGCCAAAACATTTATCATGGCTTGAGGCATTATTTATTTACCTGCCTCTGAGTTTCGAGGACATCTTCACTGTCTTTGTTTTCCTGGTGACTGCTGCAGTCTTTGCCTCCCGAACCTTGTTCTGTAAATGGTTACTGAATTAGGGAATGGCAGTAGTTTTCTGACATGGCTGTGGATTCATCTGACAAACACATATTGAGGGATTTTTGTATGCACGACACTATCGTATGTGTTTTTGTAGATTCTTGGAGGGGGGGAATGGAAATCAGATGCTCAAGTTTGGAAAAGTCTATAATATACTGTGAGAAAGAAAAACAAATCATGCATAAAAATAACTTATCCATGGTGTAAGGTATGATTTTTCTTTGCGAGGTGCATGTGTCTGTGAAAACGAGAGAGGTGGATGAAGGAGAGTGATAGAGAGGGAAAAAGAGAGACAGGGAAAGAAGAGAGAGGAGAGAGAGAGAGAGAGAGAGAGAGAGAGAGAGAACAATTTTTTGCCACCATTCAAAAATATCTTTCTATTGGCTAAGGGTATGTTTTCCCTGTAAGTGGTAAACAAACTGACTGCACATAATAATTTTCTCACTGCCATAAAAACTAGGTTAAATTCTGCCTTCAATCTAAAGACACACCCTTCTGCCAACCGTAGAGCAGTGTGCTAGTATAGAGGCCTAAATGAAAGTTCCTTTCAAGGTTGTGTTTCTGCTCGCCAAATTATCTACATTTAAAAGGAGAGTGGTTCCCTTCAGCCTTAGGCTATGAATTTCATGCATTCCTAGTTTTTTCCGAGGAGGTCCCCTAAGTGATAATTCTGTTACGTGTTGCTACAAGTTCATCCCTAATTGCCATCAGGAAACTGGCTGTGGAGAGCTTACAACAGAAGTTAACAGTAAAGCCATTGAAAGAGTAATTCAAACAGGATCGAAGCCAGGAATATTTTGTTGCTGTTGCTCTTTTTCTCTTCAGTTTGGTAAGAGCAGCTTGAATGTTTAACATTTAAGCCATCAGCTTAAAACAAAAGACCAAAAAAAAAAAAAAAACCTGCACTGGCATATTCGAATTTACCACATATGGTGTAAGGTGTTACTGGTTTGCATAATTCTGAATTTTTTTTTAAAAAAATTGATGGACACCAAGAACTGTTTCTGTTTCTTTGTTTAGACTTGGATTATCACTTGCATTTATCTTCAACTGCTCCTGTTCAATCCTCTTGTCAAAACTGAGATCTGCAGGAATCCTGTGACTGATAATGTAAAAGACATTACAAAATTGGTAAGTAAGGAATCTTCCCTTTGCTTGCTGATCACATAGGTTTAGAGCACTTTCAACACAAGTTCAGTGTACAAATCTCAGGTGCTTCTTCTCGGCAGATGGGAGATGCTTAGATCACGGAGGATTTGTCTGTATAACTGGCCCTTTGAACACCAACAGAATGACTTTGGTTCTTAGCTAGTCTTGTCCTCTCGGTCCAAGAAAGTGACTAGCTATTCCCTATTATCTACTGAGTGGATTTCTCTGTGTGACTATGTCTGCCCTGTGCCTTCCTGCTCCCATAGGAACCATAGCCACAGGACACCTATGATGGCATTGCTCCTCCCATCAGCACAAAGACTGCCGTGCATGGCAAGATGTTTGATCCCAGTGAATGTAGCAGGAGGAGGTTCTTCCACCCCATAGTGCAGATCCACTCGCCTCCATGCTTGTCACACTGGAAGTCCTCCCTGAGCAAAAGCCATTCTGCACACATGCGACTTCATCACCGCCAGCTTCCTGCTTCATTTCTCTTGATACTTCTGTTAAGACTCAAGTCAGAGAGTAAAGCGCAATGGAGATGCAGTATTTCCTTCTCTCCTGACCTTAGAGAGATATTTTATATTTACTTGGACCACTGGGTATGATTTCAGTATCATCAGAGGCTGAGCCAGGCATGATGATGGCATACACATGCAGTGACTCAAGAAGCTGAGATGGGAGACTCCTGAGCTGGAGCACAGCCTAGTCCTTTGTGATGTCCCAAAAGAAAGAAAGAAAGGAAAATTGAGTGTACATTTCTCAACTCTGTGTCTCTAGGTGGCTTTAAAATTAAGTAGGAAACACAGCTGATACAAGAATGGGGAAGAAATAAGAGTTGTTATTCGGAGAAAAGAAATAAAATATACTTATTGATATTAGTATATAAAACAATGAGCTCTGACTTCAGATTACGCATTACTGGTTTATGGGTTAGTGTGTGTGTGTGTGTGTGTGTGTGTGTGTGTGTGTGTGTGGTGTTAATAACAGAACTTGGAAATCAAAGCTGAGTTCTGTAGTTAGAGTTTGGCTAATTTACCCTCAGTAAAGAATTAGAAACACACACACACACACACACACACACACACACAAACACACATACAAACACACAGAGGATTTATGCTGATTCCTTGACATGCCAAGACATTCCAGATTTAAAAGCATTCTTGCCTAGTGTGCACAAGGCCCTGAGTCTGTTCCCTAGCACTGAAAGTCATAAAATAGCTGACAGTGTATGAACACTTTACTTGAAGTCTGGTGAGCAAACAGTACAGCTTTTGCCTATTGGCATTCCAGCTCAGTGTTGAAGCTCAGTGGGAAGGTGGGGCGGGGTGGGGGGATGAGGAGAAAGTAGTTTTGGAAGCATAGATCATGAGCCTTTTCTTCATGTTTCTGGTTCATTTGTGACCCAGGAAACAATATTTTAAAAAGATGATATGCGTTTTATTCTAAGTTCTGTGTATATCAGTAGAAGTTGCTCATGTTTACCCTCCCATGTGTGTATGTGAGGTTGGAGGTGTGATACTAAGGAACTGTGTTCAGTAAGTGCTTTATCTTTGAGTTACATATATCCCCAGCACAACATTCAAGTATTTGAGAGACTTGTTGTTTTCTTGTGTGTATATGTGATTTGTTTTGTTCTGTTGCTTGAAATAGGACTTTTATGTGTAGACCAACCTGACTTCCTCAAACTTGTGATGTTTTTAATCCATGCGGGAATTACTAGTATATACCCGCCATACCAGGCTCATTGTCCTAGTTTTCTTTCCCATTGTGAATAACAAAAACAACTTAAGAGAGAAGGGTTTATTTGGCTCACAATTCCAAGCTCTATTCTATCGTCAAGGAGAAGTCAAGGGGGCAGGAATTTGAAGCACTTGATAACCTCATACCCACAGCAGCAGGGAGCAATGCATTAAAGCATGGATGCTAGTGTTCAGCTCAATTTCTCTATTCTAATATAGTTGGCATGTCATGCATAGGGAATGGTGCTGCCCACAGTGGTTAGGTGTTTCCATACCAATTAGAGCAAGCAACATAATCTCCCACAGATATGCTCACAAGCCAACCTAACCTAATGTACACAATCCCTCAGGTAGACTCCTTTGCTAGTTAATTCTAGATTGTCTCTAATTGACAATTAAAGCTAACCATCACACTCATCATCCAGTGTTGTTGGGTGAATGCAGAAAGGACAGGCTGCCCTTTGATGTACATCACCACTGCCTGTGGTGCTTATGAAACACTGGGCCTTAATCCAAGGAACTGATTCAATAAGTCTGGGAGAATGTCCAGGCACCTACATTTTTCATGAAGTTCTGTAAAGAGGTTTCAGAACAGTTTGCTTTAGATGGTCTATTCTGTCAAAAGTTTAGAGACAAAGTGTTCAAGATGTAGCTCAGTGCAGGAGCACTTGCTTGTGTGAAGCCCTAGGTTCAATATCTAGTACTGGGGAAAAAAAGAAAAAGTCAAGAGGTCATTTTCTTCCCTGTAATCCAGTCCCAATGCTATCTCTAAGTGATTCGACATTATGCAAATTTTAAGCATGTCTATTAATACAAAGCTCTGAAGTACGCTTAAAGTAGGTCACCGGAACATAGCCTTCTGGAGATGCTACTATATTGGCAGATGCTGAAAGCAGACTATGGGAGCTGCAAATTTCAAAAAGTGGTCGTGGGCTAGAGATGTTCGGAGACCCAGAGTACTTGCTGATTTTTTCCAGAGGATCTGGGCTCTGTAACGCCAATTCTAAAGAATCCGATACCCAAGTTCTGGTCTCCTCGGCATCAAGGACACACATGGTGAACAGGGTATATACATGCAAACAAAAGACTCATACACATAAAATAAAATACATTGTAAAAATAGGCGGTCCATTTGTTGAAAGATGAGGGTGTATCTGACCACAGGCTGACCATATGAAGATTAATGCCATGCTTAAGAGAAAGTTCTCTCGTAGGTGTTATTGCAAAGTGTCAGAAGGGACATGACTTAAAAAGTACTACTTCCTGTAAATGTCAAAGTGGTATTTTCAAGTAGCACAGGTGGGTATTACAAACACCTCCTTAAGAGTCTCTATTCTTGCCTTTATCTGCTGATTATTACTTTTTAATAATCACTTGCAACTAGATAAAGACCTATATGAATATACAATGAATACATTTTTTTAAAAAAAATTTCAGAATCATTAAGAAGATGAGAAAGAAGAAATGCTTGGAAAGGGAGAGTTTATTAATATTGACAGTAAAATATATTTTCTTAATGTGAGTTCAAATGTTAAATCACTGCACAAAAAAAAAAAAAATCTGCCTTCCAGCACTTGACTCAGGGGAAAATCATCCAAGAGTTCCTCTAGTGAACTCAGTATGTTTTCTTGAATATTTTATATTAAGGCATTTGAAAATAAGTCAAGTTAGGAAGGGTCTGAAAAACCCTTGTAACTGAATAAAGACCTATGCAATTCACAGCCTATATTTTATAGAGGCAGAAATTAAAATGTATAAAACAACCCCTGAACCCAGAAATTTATTGATCGAGTTTGATAGATCAGCTCTCCGAATTACAATGTGAATGCCCCCACTGTACCAGTACAATAAACAGTGGGGCCAGCAAGATGGCTCTGCAGTTAATGGACCTTTCTGGCAACCCAAATAATTCAGGTTTTATCCCTGGCTCCCTGATATGGGAGGAGAAAACTGACCTTTATAAGTTGCCTTCAGACCTCCACATACATCCTGGCATGTGGTTGTGTGTACAAGCACACACACATACACACACATAAAATACATACATACATACATACATACATAAATGTAATTACTTTGAAAACATTTCACAGCATAGCATAGGATTCAATTTGTGCTCATGTATACATTGGTTAAAATCATGAATTTGGGTAGATCTGTGTTTACATCCTAGCTCTTTCACATTAGGTAAGGAATTACCTTTCTAAATCTCAGTTTCCTCCTTTCGATTTTGTGGTATATATATTAAACACGTTTTTAAGCCAGTTATTACAGCATAAATCCTCTCTGTCCCAGTTTTCTTGCCATTTACAATAAATTGATTGTGCTTAATTTCATCAAATGATTGTAAGAGTTGAAATAGAGGAGTCTCCGGACAAACGCCATTTGCCGTTTATGGTGGCGGTACTGTGCTGTGCGCAGAGGGAATGCAGAGATGATCTACCTATAGACAGAAAAGGAAACTAAAAAGTGTAAAGAGCTGAGGTGAATCTCTGGGACCCTTTACCTCTTCATGCCTTCAGGGACAGTAGCTGTCAGTGGTCCCCAGAGCCACCAAGCCTTTTGACTTTTGTTTATAGATCTGTGCTTCCAGATTGAATTTGGCTTGACATAGATTGGAATTTTTGAAAGAATGCTCAAAAGCCAGATCTTTAACCAAAGTTGGAAGGATAGATGGAGCACAGCCCCAGCAAGTCTCTCATGGAGCTGTGTGGTCCCCAGTGCAGAAGTGCTGAGGTGAAGCTTGTGGATGTGGGCTCAGGAAGTGTAATGTTTCCCCAGAGGATGAAAGTAGATGGTGGTTTGCCCAGAAACTGCAGGACTGGTCTCTGTTTCCCATGGTTGTAAAGACGTTAAGTATTTCCTATGCCAATCTGTCAGCTTCATCCCTTCAGCAGTAGTGACTGGCGAGGTTATGGAGGCAGATAATTGTAGAGTTTCTTTTAAAGGCTGGTAGGGCTGGGTACCTTGGTGGAAGCTGGGGCCACGGGGTAGTTTGAGTACCATTGAATCTGGTACTCTGGTACTCTGCCCATAGGCAAAGTGCTGGATTCTTCTAGGATCCACTTTTCTGAATGTAGACATGAGAAACATGGAAGTGATTGAGGGTCCTTAACATTTCAAACTTTAAATTCTACTCTTCCATGCTTTATGTCCATTTCTGAAGGGACTGCATATACCTTTCCCCATTTCTCAGAGGAGTCAGGGGCCCCAGGAAGATCTATACGAGTAGAGAAT